CCACACCCACACCCACACCCACACCCACACCCACACCCACACCCACACCCACACCCACACCCACACCCACACCCACACGCACACGCACACGCACACGCACACGCACACACCCGAGACCCTCACCCCAAAGCTTAACCTGGCCCCCTGTGTTGTACACATCACACACACACGCACAAAAACCAAAAACAGAGAGAGCGATAGACACATACACACGCACACACCCGCTGAATACAACCCCGATATCATAACGTTAGTAACCCTAAACCCCACACCCCAAACCCCAAACCGCGAACCCCGAACCCCGAACCCCAAACCCCAAACCCCAAACCCCAAACCCCAAACCCCAAACCCCAAACCCCAAACCCCAAACCCCAAACCCCAAACCCCAAACCCCAAACCCTAAACCCTAAACCCTAAACCCTAAACCCTGCCCAAACCCCAAGCCCACAAGCTTAACTCTGGCGGTCCAAGCTGCCTTTGAAGGACTGCCCAGCTTGGGGGATGACGACATGCACTTCAGCCAGCTGACTTGCTGACAATGTGGGAGTGCGTGGAGGTTCATGGTACTTGTTAACCAGTTCTAGCTGTACTTATCACCCACTTCTAAGCCCCTTAAGTGCCCGAATATGGTTATAAGTACAGTTCTGCGTACAGTCAAGAACTACCATGAACCTACAAGTAGGCGGGGTTCTGAAGCCCCACTGCGGCACCCTTGAAAGTCTGGGGGTGCTTTCTCCGTGTGGTCAGAGGCTCTTGCGCCTCGCCGCGGTGGAAAAGGATCTTTCTGTGCAGGTTGGCCATTGATCCTGCGGGGGGCAAGAACCCTGGGACCACAAGAACACGCAAAATTGGGGTCATACACCCTGTTATACGATAATTCCTCTTAGATTATCAGCCATGACCATTTTAGGGTTAAGGAAGCATTCGGTAGAAGAATGCAGCTTGACAGTGCCGGGCACGTGCCATCCTGGCATGTTAACTCTATTTAGAGTTTGTAGACTTACAGGCCCTACACCCCATAAACCTGCTCAACCCTGTAAGCTCCATAAACCCCATAAACTTCCCAACGAAGCAGCTGCTTGCTGCACGGCTGCCATATGTGGCTGCAACTTCTTGGCTCAGAATTTTCCAGGGGGCCAACATTTCGCCGCCGCAATGCCAGGTGCCGGATTTAGGGTCTAGGGTTTAGGGTCTGGGGTTTCGGGTTTAGGGTTCAGGGTTTAGGGGGACCACATGAACCCCAAAATTCAGATCATTTACCTCTACTACTCTCATCTCTATTGGCGTGTATGAACCCTAAACCCTAAACCCTAAACCCTCCTAAGGTTCATTTGGTTCCCACGGCAGCATGTCATGGGTGGTAGGGTGATTGCAGCCCCGCGTATGCTTCTTCGGACCCTAAACCCCAAATCCTATCCCTCAACCCTAAACCCTAAACCGTCAAGAATAGGCCACAAGAAGGCTGCAGGGAGGCAGGCAAAGGCGCACAAGAGCCACGATTCCATAGGGCCACCTACCCCGGAAAAGCAAAACAAGCCCTAAGCCCTTAACCCTTAACCCTAAACCCTAAACCCTCCCCCCCCCCCCCCCCCACAAAGACACAAAGCATCCCAGATTTGCGAAGCAATTTACCCTGAACCCTAAACTCGAAACCCTAAACCCCAAACCTCAAACCCTAAACCCTAAACCCCACCCCCCCACCCCCCAACAAAAAAGAAAAGGAAAATAAACTAGTGACGAATCAATGCAAGCACTTTGCAGGGCCAACAGGCCCGACGTTGCTGCTGCAAGTGCCCAAGCGAGCCGATTCCAATCTCAAAAGCCGCAGCCACAGGATTACGCCTTGGGATATGTAAGGTTTAGGGTTCAGGGTCTAGAAGTTCACTTAATAGGTTCAGGGTTTCGGGTGTATATAGGGTTTAGGGTTTAGGGTTTTATTTCGCCTTGGGTTATTTGAGGTTGAGGGATTACAAGGGTTTAGGGTTTAGGGTGCAGGGTGTAGGGTGTAGGGTGTATATAGGGTTTAGGGTTTAAAGGTTTTAGGGTTTACGGTTTGGACATTAGGGCAAAAAAGTGAGCTTAAAGGGGTTTCGGGGTCTTAGGGCTCAACCCTGTCATGGAGGGTTTAGGGGTTGAGCGTTGAATCGAGGCCGACACAAGGGGCTTCAAGGGAAGAAGGGTGTTGCTTTTGTGTCCCAGCGGCTGGATAAGGACATGGGGCTCAGGGTACAGGGTGGGTACCCTAAACCCTAACCCCTAAACCCATCCATTGGCAGGATATGGGATGTTTCCCCTTCTACTAACGGTCCTTAAGAGGGATTATAGTACCCCCTACAATAGTCATTCCTGAAGACTGTTAGCATAAGAGGGAACATCCCAAGTAGGATCCCCAATGACAGGGACCTAATTTTGGGGAACCTTCAGCAATCTGAAACTCTAAACCCTAAACCCCAAACCCCAAACCCTAAACCCCTTCAGCAGCTTGGTTTCTTGCGCCGCACTGCGGATCCCGAGGTAAGAAGCCCGTGAAGCCGGTGGAGCTCAGGCGCGCTCCAGCTCCATCGATGGCTTCATTTCGGGTTGATGGCTTAAGGTTGAAGGTTTAAGGGTTTAAGGTTGAAGGTCTAGGGTTTTGGGTTGAGGGTTTAAGGTTTGAGGGTTAAGGTTTAAGGTTGAAGGTTTAAGGGTTTAAGGTTTAATGTTTAGGGCTTTGGGTTGAGGGTTTATGGTTTCAGGTTTAGGGCTTAGGGTTGAGGGTTTAAGTTTTAAGGTTTAGAGTTTAGGGTTTGGGTTTAGGGTTTAGGGTGTAGGGAGGGCGTCTGCTTTCCAGCTCGAGATAGTCAGTTTTCCAATTGTTTTGCATCCCCACCGGAGCCCTACCAAAATACGGCCCCCTCCCCATCCCCTTTTTTTGGGGTTGAGGATTTCCTTTTGCAACCCTGAACCCTAAACCCTAAACCCTAAATCCTAAACCCTAAACCTCCATCATTTGCGCAGGTCGCTCAGCAATTCAGGCCGAGAACTCAGTGGTGCACGGGCAGACGGCACTGGCTCAGCAAGTGTGCTTTCAGAATCGAGTCACTTTCGAGGACCAGCAAAACCCTCAACGTGAAGTCTAAAAACACCCCCCCCCCCAAAAAAAAAAAAAAAAAAAATCAGAAGAAGCCCAAAAGGGCCCAAAAAAGCCCCCTAAACCCGAACCCGTCGCCTAATAAAACTGTAAGCACTGTGGCCTTCCATTCACCTGGGCTCCTTTAGCTGTCGCGTGCGCGCGCCCGCAGGCCTCGAAGTGGAGTTGGCGGCGACTGCACGAGGACCGCGCCACTTAACCTGGGTTCCCCGATGCCACCTCTAAGAGCTTTTTGTATTTTCTAATTAGGGTTTTGGGTTTAGGCTTTAGGGTTCAGCCTTCGAGTTTAGGGTTCAGTTTAGACTTTCTTTTGCGGGGGTCTGATCTGTGTTTGCATGTTTTGTGGGTTTAGAGCCACCCCTAAACCCTAAACCCAAAAACCTTAAACCCTAAACCCTAATTGCGGGTGTAGACATCGCCCTGAACTTCAAACCCTTGACTGGGCTATTGTTTCTTCTGAGGCACTATCGTGTGTACACTATTGCCCTTGTTATACCCTAAACCCTAAACCCTAAACCCTAAACCCTAAACCCTAAACCCTAAACCCTAAACCCTAAACCAAGAGCCCAGTAAGCACTTAAACCCTAAGCCCCTGAACCCCCCGGAAGTTCCTTAACCAGAGCCCAGTTGGGGGTTTCCGAAAGCCAGGGATCCTTAGTATAGCCCCCCAAACAGTAGGATTCCTTTATTGTAAGGACCCCAATAAGGTACCCCTTAGTACCCCTAATTTCGGAAATCCCCATCTGAACCCTAGACCTAAACCCTAAACCCTAAACCCTAAACCCTAAACCCTAAACCCTAAACCCTAAACCCTAAACCCTAAACCCTAAACCCTAAACCCTAAACCCTAAACCCTAAACCCTAAACCCTAACCCCCAACCCCTAACCCCTAACCCCTAACCCTAACCTCTAGTGTGGTTCTTGGCTACGTTGGTCAGGATGGGCAGGATTCGCTGGGTATCACACATCCGTGCTGATCGATGGCGAGGAGCGCTGGGAGCGGCTTTCAGGGTGACACCCTCCTGTCTCCAGAATGCTCCTGTAGCCCCCTAAACCCTAAACCCTAAACCCTAAACCCTAAACCCTAAACCCCTCCGAGACAAGGAGTACTACTTCAGCCCCACGGGCATCCGATATGCCAAGAAGCTCACGAGCCACCCTAAGCGGTCTCAGGCGGGCTCTTGGCTTCAGGGAAGGACAGCGGGTTTAGGGTTTAGGGGTTAGGGGTTAGGGGTTGGGGGTTGGGGGTTGGGGGTTGGGGGTTAGGGTTTCGGAGGGTTTTGCGAAAGATATGCCAGATATATCCCAACATATCTACGTAACGTATGTGTTCTTAATCGGGAATCAGGGAGCTAGAGTTCCTTGGTCGCACCGTGGTACCCTTTCCCTGCTTTTTGGATGAACGTTCCATGGTGAACTAACCAACCCTAAACCCTAAACCCAAAACCCTAAACCCTAAACCCTAAACCATCACTCGAAAGTTTCCGCCTCATGGCATGGCCCATCTAGGTCCATTTGACGCTGGAAGGCGCTATAGCACCCTAAGTACCTAAATATGTAATACTTGGCCCTTAAAGTACTTCCTATATAGGCACTTTGGGGCCCAAGTGTATAATAATAAGGTACATGGACCCTTAGGGGCACATGTTGGGTGTTTAGTCTAAAGACAGCATCTTCTAAGATCCTTTGCGCATTTTATATGACATGAGAGAAAGATTATGCCCTGTTAGACTCCAACACGAAGCCCCCGTTACCCTGAGCCCTAAACTCAGAAACCTACACCTAAGACAAAGACCCTAAACCCTACCCCATGAGGTGTATCGGAACCCGAAACCCTAAGCCCCAGACCCTAAACTCTTGTCCCCCAACCATGGCAGAGATTTCGACTGAGCCATGGAGCTTTTCTGGTGTGCGAACCTGTGATGACCACGACAACATCAAGACCTGCGAAGTGTTCAATGATCTGAATGGGGCTGTCGAGGTGAGCTGTGGATCGCTCGACTCGCAAGTCCTCTACCCGGGCTTCATACGCAAATTTCCCGTGGGAATGGACACGGAGGTTGTAGTGAGACTGCGCGACGATCCGGGAGTCTTTGGGAGCTGCGCCGCCGATGCTGGTAGAAGCTTGCTGTTGTCGCAGGATTTCGGCGACTTCTCTCTTGAAGCCATGGAACTGATCCAACAAGAAACAAAGGCAGCAAAGGAGGAATCTCGTTTAAGAAAGGCACGGCAGCAGGCAATCAGCAAGCAGCTGTATGAGGAAGTGAATCGAAAAACCCTCAGGAGGCAAAAGAACGTTCTCATCTGCACAGCCGTCACTATCTCAGTGTCTCTGAGTCTGGTCATCTCTCTCACGGTGGCCACCCAGAGCAGGCTGCTGACCTTCGATCACCACGACCGCCTCCCGGCCGTGGGCTTCGCCGCTGCCCTCGTGGTGCTCTGGTGCTGTGCCATGGGCGGAGTCAGCGTGCTGCAGGCGGCCGCCGACGACACCACCGCATCCCAGCTCCAGGCTTCCGTGCGCGCTGCGCGGCCCGAGTTTCAGAGCTACACGGAGCGCGGCGCCACGTTTTTCGGTAGCGAGGACAACGGCAATCAAGACTGGCGAAAGTCACTTTTTGTTTGCTGTTGCTTCAGCGTTCCGACCGTGTGCTTCAGTTGCGCCATTCTCGTGACCATCTACTTCAGCGCCAAAGGCCACGGCTGGGTCATTGCCACCACCTGGACACTGCCCGTCATTGTGGCGTGTTTTGTGTGCTGCCTCATATGCCGCTTACGGACTCTGGGGATTAAAAGGTGGGCGACTGTGGGAAAAGGTTGCGTGGTGCCCTTCCGTTGGCCATTGATGATCCTGAATGCCCTTGCAAAGTGCAGTTGTGGCTCTGGCCCTGTCCTAGCAGTCTCTTCCCTGCTTCAGCCTCCGAGGGAGGAGTTGAACCAAGCGGTGTTGGAAATGAACCAGAGGACCATCGTCTTTGAAGGTAGCTCGGTAGGCCCTTGGGACATTTTTGTATTTTTCCCTTGTGTGGCTTAAGGGGATCATCTTCAGGAAGAATATTTTTTCAGAGGGTTTTGAGGGCCATCCTAGGTAATGTCCTCCCAAACCGTCACGCGGTTTCTTCCTGGCCGGGCAAGTACGAGTCTGCCTGGGACTCCCTGGTGACGGGGTCTCGGAAGCACGAGATCAGTGCTGCGGTGGTGTCGTTGCCATAGTGGAGTAACATTTTGCATGTTGAAGAGTTTTTAAGGCTACTTAAAACTCCATGAAACATGGCAGTTTATAGTTTAAATACTATTCCAACCATGAACTAGGTGTTTCTGCCAGAGGGTTCAGCACACTATGGGCTGCACGATCCCATTCCCACCGCGGAGGACTTGTGTGACTTGGCAGGTGGGCGAGTACGAAAATAAGGGACCTCTAGTATAGAACCCAAAAAGTAGGATTCCCTTAACAAGAGGCCCCCAATAAGGTACCCCGAATTGCGGAAACCCCTAGGTGAATGCTGGTGTGTGCCCCTCTACGGCGAGCCCAAACCCTGGGGTTGCCAATGGTGGTCCCGTTGGATCGCCAACATAGAGAAGGCAGTCCAGCTGGGGGCCACCCTTGAGGTCTACTTTTTCAATGGTAAGAAACTTACTTCTCCAACAGCTGAACTTTAAACTTTTGGGGTTCCCTTATTTAGTAGGAATAATAAAGTTTAACCTTTTTTCCCCTTGGTTATTGGAGAAGTAAGGAAAGGCCAAGGGAAGGTAGCAGACTTTGCGGCAGCTGGCGCAGAGCATCTTCGAAGGGAATGGATCTTCAGCCAAAAAATAGACTTTGAGAAGTCACAGGGTTTCCTCAGAGCGCTGGACGATGGCTTGGACCACCTCTCGAAGGACAAAGGCCCAGATGGCTCATCCCCCTTTTCTCGAGAGGTGGGTGCTTCTCATTCTAGCCCCTAGGTATAAACCCTTGCGGTTCCTAGGGGTTCCTTTTTTGAGAAACTCCTTAAACCCTAAGCCCTAAAGCCTCAACTCTAGACCCTAAGCCCTAAGCCCTAAACCCTAAACCCTAAACCCTAAACCCTAAACCCTAAACCCTAAACCCTAAACCCTAAACCCTAAACCCTAAACCCTAAACCCCCCTTGAGGTGTATCGGCTCTTCTTGGCCTGGCTGCCGGAAGGCGACCGCCAGTTTCTGGAACACTCCGAGGGCTTAGGAAACTCACAGAAGGCGGAGGTCGCCTGGCTGGAACGGAAACTTGGGGGGGAACTTGGAAGTATTTGCGTTTTAGGGTTTAGGGTTTGGGGTTTGGGGTCTAGGGTTTAGGGTTTAGGGTTTAGTAGTAGGGTACTGTCATCCTAAGAAGCAGCTAAAATTATTGTAACTTTTGCTAGGGTTGCAAGTTCGGTATAGGAAAGGCTACCATTACATCGAGAAGGAAGTCGCTGAACTGTCCGCCTCGTCGCCCAAGGCGACAGGCCAAGAAAAGAAATGGTGATTTCCCTGAATTATTTTCCTTTTTGGGTCCTCATTATAAGGTGCCCCCTCTCATTTAGGGTACCTAAAAAGGGACCCTAATTTCGAGAACTGACCAAAAGCTCTCCTTCTGGCGGTTGAGCTTTTGGTTAGGAGCGACATAGATACAAAAAGGGGTGGAGTGCGTCATTGCGGCGGTAGGCGGATGCCTGGAACACGAGCCCCAAGCCCCAAATCCGGACAGCAACAGCAAGGGGGCTAACCCCTTCCCCCTAATATTAAACCCCTCCTAGGATCAAGAACCCCCCCCCACACACAAAAAAAAAAAAAAAAAAAATGTTTCTGGCTTGAGTAGGGGCGGGTATGGGCTCGGGTTTTGGGGTCACGGGGATGTTTGCATGAGGGGTGTTCTAATATTACGGGGAAGGGATTATACATTCGGTCAATCCCCATTACATCAACAGTCTAGGGTTTAGGATTGAGGGTTTAGGGTTTAGGGTTTAGGGTTTAGGGTTTAGGATTGAGGGTTTAGGGGATTACGGCCAGGAGCCCCTCTAACAAGGAGTTGATAGGGCCGTACCATGATGAACCCAGGCCATGCTTGCAATTTGACCTTCGCTTCCTTTGCTTCGCAACTATTTGGGGGGGATCTCCAACGTAGAACCCCTTAAGGTTCTCTATTGTTCCCTTGTGAAGTAGCCAAAAAGGTTGCCCTCATTGGGTTTAGGGTTTTGGGTTCAGGGTTTAGGGTTTAGGGTTTAGGGTCATGTGGTTACTGGGCTACCAAGAGGAGGAGGACTGGACCGAGAGAAGGGCTTGAAAAGCATTTATGCCGCCACGGTTGCAAGGCCAAGCTGGAAAGTTGCGGCAAAAAAGGGTCTAGGGGGTAGGGTATAGGGGATAGGGTCTGCCCATAAGAAGTGAGGCACGAACTCAAGAAGCCCTATGTTGGGAACGTGAAAAAGACGTGCGCCTTCAAGCTGATAACTTGATACAAGGGTCCTTCTCTGTCACTCTGCTGGAGACTTATCTTGCAGATGGTTGGCTGTATGTTGTGGGTGGGGGGGGGGGGCATGAAAGTGACAAAAGCCACGATGCTTGCAGGCAGTGGTCACACATATCGGATTCAGCAAGGCGGGCCGATGAGTCGCTGGACATGTTCGGGGGCGATAGGACTCGTTTTCAAGGTTTAAGGTCTAATTCAGGGCTTCGTGGCTTTCTTGGAGGTACTTAGCAACCCAATTCTGACCGTGCTTATAACTTATAACCCAATTCTAACCCTATGAGGCTACTTAAGGGGCTTATAAGTGGGCTGTAACTACACTCGAAATGGGGCCCTAAGGCCTAAGCCCTAAACCCTAATTTGGGTTACTTGGCCGCGAAAGCTGCGAAACTTGCGATTTGGGGTGTAGGGTGTAGGGCTCAGGGTTTAGGGTTTAGGGTTCTTCCACAGCCCGCCATGACAGGCCACGGGCCAGCAGATGCTGGACTTCCTGAGCGACCACTTCCTTGCTGGCAGATCCTTTGCAAGATCTAACTTGCCTCTTTAAATTAAAGGTTTAGGGTTTAGGGTTTAGGGTTTAGGGTTTAGGGTTTAGGATTTACGGTTTAGGGTTTAGGGTTTAGGGTTGAGGGTTTAGGGTTACTAGGTAGGACCTTGGGACATGTTTCATTCTCCCTTATTGGGTTTAAGAGGGTCATATTCAGGAATATGTTTCAGAGGCCTTTAAGGGCCATCCTACAAGCAGGTCCTCTTGCGGTCTCAACTTATAGTACCTTATGAGGCTCCCAGGGCTCCTGTTTTTTTTTAGGCTTCTGGGCCCAAAGGCCTTGTCATACACGGTTGCCGGGCGATTTTGAGCCTAAGGGGTGCTGAGGGTAGATAACTTGGGGTAGCGCAACGGGCCCAGTGTAGAGCTCCTAGTCCCAATTCGCTGGGGGTCTAAGCGTAAATGAACCCCAACGCCTGTGCCCAGGTTACGACTTCTTGAGGAAGAACTGCTGCTGTGCCTGCAAGCGAGTCCTTTGAAACCTGCGCCTCACTGATTGCCAGGGTTTCGGTTTTTCAGGCGATAGAGGACTCTACGCTAAGGCTCCAAGGACTCTCATCACATAAGGTTGTTGCGCTATTTTGAGCCTAAATGATGTTTATGTACCTTATCTTCTCTTTCATCACAGGCAGTGAGCCCCCATTCCCCAAAAAGCCGCTGGTTCGTCAGGCAACAGCTTCACAGATGCAGCTCTGTACTTCCTGTGTGGCTGGGCAGTGATACAGTTGGAGGACGTCGATTTTTTCTCTAGAGTTGCTTGTAACATTGTACGAAACCGGCTTCCCCCCCCTCCTGTCAAAGCATAAGAAATACATGCTGCTCGCCCTACCACACTTGCTGGAACCTGTCCTGTAGATCTCAGACCAGCAAGTTTGCTAGATACTATGCAGACCCGTCCGTAATCAGCCATTTTGCCTGACGCTTCTTAGCTAGCCTGAAGCCCCAACCCTTAACCTCGAAGTTAGACAAACCAAAGCCCAAAGGATCCATGTACCTATATAGTATATACTTGGGCCTTAACGGGCTTCCTACATAGTAGCTGTATAAATTAGGGCCCAAGAATATGCTATATAGGTACATGGATCCTTTGGGAAGCAACAAACACTTTAGCCTTGTCTGGAGGTGAGGCGCGTCTGGACTTCAGGTACCGTGCCATGGAAACCATTGGCTGGATGGCGGAGAGCTTCTTGGCAGAAGCCCTGAAGACGAACCCACGCCCTAAAACTTAAACTCTAAGGCCCAGGGCCTAAACCTAACCCTAAACCCTAAACCCTAAACCCTAAACCCTAAACCCTAAACCCTAAACCCTAAACCCTAAATCCCCAGAACCGCTAGTTCCGAGTCCCTCGCGCGCAAATGGCAAAGGTCGGACAGGCATCCTGCACTCGATCAGCAGTGGCGAGCCTCTTGCCTGGATTAGACTTGCTTGGTAGCCCAGTGGCTCCCTTTACGGGTTTAGGGTTTAGGGTTTAGGGTTTAGGGTTTAGGGTTTAGGGTTTAGGGTTTAGGGTTTAGGGTTTAGGGTTTAGGGTTTAGGGTTTAGGGTTGGGTTACAGGTTTCCGGATAGAGTAACCAACCCCATAAAGGGTGCCCTTATTACAATATGGTTACTGGGCTACCAAGGTTTGGAATAAATTGTGCATCGAGAAGGACCCACATCCCATATGCTACCCTGCATTGCCCTGTACAACCCTATCGTTTTTCTTGCTTTGCCTTTAGTTGAACTGTAAGCTTTTGGGTTTCCGTATTTAGAAGTAAAGCCTTTTGCTCCCCTGGTTATTGGAGAAGTAAGTTCTTTGAGGCCGCAAAACCAAACTTCAGGAGCATCTTGGGGAGGCAAACCCTCGGCGAAGAGTCTCCCAGGGCATTCTCTCTCTGCACTCAAAAAGGACGGGAACTGGACATTTTGCGAAATGTCACCGCAGAGACAAAAACAAACAAGAAACTATATCCCGGGGAAGATTCCCCCAGGATTGCTTTTGCTCGCCCCATGGTAAAAAAGATATGTCAAGTAATAGGACCCCAAATTATCGGATTCCCCAATCCCCAATAAGGCACCCTTAATTTCGGAAACCCCCACATGGCTAAGGGTCTAGGGAACCTTGATCTTGAACCCTAGACCCTTACAACCCTTAGAAATCCTAAGCTCCAAGGGCCCAACCTCAAACCATGCAAGGTATCGACAAAATCGATCAGCTGATGATTTTGACCTGGAGGCCTTTCCATACGAAAGAGCCCGAAACCCCTGCTTATCATTTGTCATGGTCTTTAAACCCTGAACCCTAAACCCTAAACCCTAAACCCTAAACCCTAAACCCCTGCTTATCGTGGTATTTCTTTGCATCTACTCAACCCTCGAAGTTTCCACCGCGACTGCAGCATTTCAGGAGCCCCTAAGAAACTTTCATGAGTATCACAGGGAATATGCTCGTACATCTGAAGACACATATACATACCCAAGAACACAAACATAACCATAAACATATACATACACATGTACATATGCATATACATATACATGTACATATACATATACATATGCCTCCGCATACACACATATAAGACTTGAATGCATACATACCATACATACCATACATACCATACATACCATACATACCATACATACATACCATACATACCATACATACATACATACATACATACATACATACATACATACATACATACATACATACATACACACACACATACATACATACATACATACATACATACATACATACATACATACATACATACATACATACATACATACATACATACCATACATACAATACATACATACCATACATACCATACATACAATACAATACAATACATACATACATACATACATACATACGTACATACATACATACATACATAAAAGCTCCAACAATAGCAACACAGCGAGTGTGTGCACCAACATCAAGTGATTCAGGGGGCCCAGCATGTGGTTTAGGGTTTCGGGTTTAGGCTTAGGCTCTAAGGGGCGGGGGAGGGGGGGCGTTCCACCAAAGAAAGGGCACCCTTTTCTTCGGATAGGGTTGCCAGGGTCCCCCGAAGCCTTAAACCGGTTCTAGGGTTTATAGGAGGGTTTAGGGTTTAGGGCTCGGGACCCTATAAAGCCCTGCCCTTGGTACAGGATCTCTTGGAGCAGATCGACGACGAGCGCCCTGAACACCCAGAGCCAGATGACGAGCCGACACCGAGGGCGCGGGGTGGTACGGGAGGGTAGGGTTTAGGGTTTAGGGTTTAGGGTTTAGGGTTTAGTGTTCAGGATTAGGGGCTTCAGGGGGATGCAGGGCCTTCGGGGGGTTGTTGGTTCACCTTGTGGCGTTTGGGGCGTGCAGCAGTTCGAGGTTGGCAGTTCTGGACTGGCTGCCGCTTTAGGGTTTAGGGTTGAGGGTTTAGGGTTTAGGGTTTAGGGTTTTAAGGAGCCCAAAACCAACTCCAAACCCTAAACCCTTATGTATACCCTAATCCCTGAAAACTGGAACCTAAACCTTGAAAACCTTAAGCCCCAAACCCCTAACCCTAAACCTTTCTTTCATATAATAATTTAAACCTTAGTGACCTTCGTGGTTTAAGGCTCATAATTGGTGCTTTAAGACCCATAATTCGTGGTTTAAGGCCCATAATTCGTGGTGTAAGGCCCGTGGTTTAAGGCCCAGAATGTGGGTGTTATATCAGAGCCGTAAATATAACTTTACCATAACACTGCTCGACCCGGAGCTGCTGAACCCTAAACCCTAAACCCCAAACCCCAAACCCCTTAACCCCAAATTATAAACCCAAAGTGCTCTCGGGCAGGTGTTCTGCGCTGCGGCTGTGTGCCTTGGCGGCCAGGCAGCTACAAATACTGTAGATACGGAGTGCGAGGTGAGCAGGTTTAGGGTGTAGGGTTTAGGGTTTAGGGTTCAGCATCTCAAATTCGAGCATTCACTAGGCCAGCAGTGTGTGTAGACAATGGAAAAAAACCACCCGCCCAAAGAATCCCATAACATTAAGAAATTAAGAGTTTATAAAGTTTTTGAATTTCTGTTCAGACGCACCAAGAGGCCAAACAATATCAAACAATCACACAGACCTCAAGTTTTTCCATCCAGGATTCCTCAGTCCTGTGCCCTGCTGGCTTCGTGGCTCGCTGAGCTGCGTGAATAATGGGGGGGTCAAAGGGGTGCAAGTTTCATAAGTTGTGTTTAACTTGCAGCTGTTTTTGGTTTCGGGGCCACCACATTGGACTCCCAGATGCCCCCGCCAAAGGGGTCAGAGGAGCCGAAGTGGATCAAAACGCCAAATTCGTGCTGAACAATGGGGGGCCAAAGGGGTCAGAGGGGCCGAAATGGATCAAAACGCCAAATTCGTGCTGAACAATGGGGGGGCAAAGGGGTCAGAGGGGCCGAAGTGGATCAAACCGCTACATTGGTGGTGAACAATGGGGGTGCCAAAGGGGTCAGAGAAGCCGAAATGGATCAAAACGCCAAAGTCGTGCTGAACAATGGGGGGGTAGAATTGGTCAAAACGCCAAATTCGTGTTTAACAATTAGGGTTATAATGGTAGAGAGGTTTAGGGTTGAGGGTTTAGGGCTTAGGGTTTAGGGTTTAGGGTTTAGAAACCTTAAAGCCTGTTAAAAACCCACTCCGGAGGGCGGTATTTTCCGAGGCCGACGATGACCTTTTTCGCTCCCGCTCCACGTTACCGACTGCGCCCGTGAATCCTGCGGCTGCGAAGCCCAAAGAAAGGCTTTGAGGGTTGAAAGGGCTTGGGGACTTTAGGCATTTCCCCCAGTTGCAGGGTGCCCCTGATATTCCCCAATCCTACAGATAATTCAGCCCAAAAAGCAAAGAGTACTCCAACCCTAAGCACTAAACCCTGAACCCTTCGGAAGCCCCCCTTTTCTAACAAGCATGACAGCTCCCCTGCCAAACCGAGGCTGGCCCACGGAAGCCTTGACCAACCCTTATGAATCATATTTCATTATGATTATGTTTTGTGGGGGGTGAGGGTTTGCGGTAGAGGGTGTAGGGTCTAGGGTTCAGGGTTCAGCGGGTGGGGGGGTACAGTGTAGGGTGTAGCGGGCTGGGTATTGGATCCAACCTAAGCAAATCTTAAACCCTACATAACCAGGAAGCCATTAAAAAAGATGAAACATAAATAAAAAAAACAAACCTAAGCCCTGTGGGCCCAACTATTCCTAAGTCAGGGGGGGAGAACCCCCCATTTATAAGTACCATGAACCTCCTTCCTAAACCCTAAAAACCCTAAAAACCCTAAAGCCTAAACTCTAAACCCCTGTGGCCGCATTGGTCGCGGCAATCTTGCCTTGACCTGCGGGGTCAGCGGTGCTGCGCCCTGTCCTTCGGCTTATGGGGCTGCAGGGTTTATATAGTTTGGTATAAGAACAAAATGGAGAGTCCAGAAGTAAACGCAGCAGAACATCTGACATGCAAGTTGATGTTCAGGACTGCTTCAGGACTGCTTGTGCGATGCTTTAAGACAGCTCTTGGCAGTTTCTTGAAGCTCTGCTTAATATAAGGCTCTGTCCTATAGTAGGAGTCCAAAAATGGAGACCTGATTTAGGGAAACTCCCACATAGCTAAACTCCGTACCGAATGTACAATCGCTGCCCACTGGCAGACGGCGCACGCGCATGCCCCCTGCACTGCTACCTTTGCAGCCAGCCGTTTCTGGAAACGCATCGGTAATTATCATTTCTGTTTTCCAGGTTTCGGAGGGTTGTATCCCTAAACCCTAAACCCTAAACCCGACACCCTATCGACTGTGCTTCCTGATGCTCCCGAGACTAACCCTCCGAAGCCAGCTGGAGACCGCCCTGCTACTGAGCCCCAAGGATAGATTTAGGGTTTAGGGTTTAGGGTTTAGGGTTTAGGGTTTAGGGTTTAGGGTTTAGGGTTTAGGGTTTAGGGTTTAGGGTTTTGAACCCTCAACCCTGAATGTTAGATTCTATGACCCTGAACTACTTGCAGGCTCAGGAGATTTAGTAGCCCAAAATGTAAGTGTAGTTATAATTCACTTATCAGCTCCTTTTACCTACCCTAATAGGGCTACAATGTTCCAAGTACAGTGACATTTCGGGTGCTACGTACCATGAACCTCCATGTAATACCGCAAGGCAAGACCTGGGGGAGAGGTGGCCGCGGAAACCGAGAGCTAGGGCACCCCATTTGACAGCCGGGCCCGAGCATTCTCCGCTAATTCATTGGGGGGAAGAGGCGCTGTCAGAGAGGGTTCAGGTGCTAGAGATTTGACATCATTCAGAGTTTAGGGTTTAGGGTTTGGGGTTTAGGGTTTAGGGTTTAGGGTTTAGGGTTTGGGGGTTGGTTTCGGGTGTTGGGGGTTCTGGGTCCAGGAATCATCGTGTGGAGATGAAAGCAGGTGGGCTTATCACCTGGGGGCCATCTGTCTCAGCGATCTTCATACGCATACTAAAAGTAGGGGGTACAAGGAGGGACCCTTGATCTTATTCCAGTATATAACCCATATGTTTGTATATATACATATATATATATATATGCACACCTTGTATAGTCCCTATATACCTAAGTAGCTCCGACATAACCGAAGGTCCCTTATAAGGGTCCCTCCTTTAGCCCCTTCAAACAACCCTCAGCCGTAAACCCAACATCCTTCCGAGCAAGACTACAAATCTGACCCTGGACTCTCGACCTGCACAAGCAGCCCTACGACACCTAAACCCTGAAACCTGCATGTCCTTCTCCAACAATGCACTTTGAAATGCTTTTTTTGTGTGGCTGGCTCTTAGTAGGGAATGAGGGAATGAGGGCCCTATATATAATACCTTTAAGGGATTATCTAGGGCCCTCCCTACTAAGAACCAGGGGGTTGTTGTTGCCATGGGTATTGGAGAGTAATGCACCTACGTCTACCTTGCAACCCGACACGACATGTTGCTTTGTCGGTTATGACTCGAAAAGCCCTTGTGGGATTCTCAGGTACCGAAAACATAGAAAGGAGAGTATCCCTTCGATCATGATATTTTAAAATTTGCACAGGAGTTTCTCTTATTGTTTCATCAGGATTCTTGTCTAATTCAGGGATATTGAAGTCTCTGGAAGGTAGGTTTGGGGTCCCTAAAGCCTAAAAGCTAAACCCCAAACCGTTCTCAAAGCAACATCTGGTGAGAGCGCCATTTCCTCTTGATTCGTGCCCTGCCGGTCGGCGGCGTCTCTGTGGTATCGGCATTGTGCTCTTGCGCTTCGGGTTTTAGGGTTTAGGGTTTAGGGTTTCGGGTTGAGGGTTTAGGGTTTAGAGTTTAGGGGTTTGTGGGGCCACAAGAGTCCATATGTACCCAAGTAGGGTATACTTTTGGGCTTCAAAGTGCTTGACTTTGGGGGCTATACTATTTGGGGTTTTCAAGTGTTGCCCTTAGGCTCAAAATAGCCAGAACCTTATATGCGACGGCCTTTGGGCCCAAAAACCTGAGGGTTCGGGCCTATTGACCCTTAGGGGGGTTGAGGGGATCTAGGCTGGGGTTCGAGGTTTCAGAGTGGGAAGATGACCCCGAAGCATCGCACCCTAAACCCTATAGCTCCTAAACCCTATATATTAGAAACCTTAAAGCCTAAGCCCTAAGCCCTAAATCCTAAACCTCAACCCTGAACCCTAAACCCTAAACCCGAAATCCTTACCCCGGACTGCAGGATTGCTGTAAGCGCCTTAGTCGAAAGATAGCTCACACTGTGGGTTTAGGGTTGAGGGCTTAGGGTTTAGGGTTTAGGGTTTAGGGTTTAGGGTTTAGGGTTTAGGGTTTAGGGTTCCCTATATCAACATTGAACGCTAAAGCTAACCCTAAAGCCTCAAAGAAAGGAGGTACCGGGTTTCAGGTCCTTTGTCCGCTGCTGCCTGTGCGAGATCTCTTTCGATACTTCATTGACGCTTGCGCCGCCCTTTTTTACCGAATACCAACAGCCGGGCTGATCCAAACCCGCAACTCCTGAGCCATAAACTCTACAGAATCCCACATGCACTCAAGACCAGGTCCTTCGTTTATTTAGTCGGTGTTAGCTGTGTTCTTTGTGTTTTTGTGACAACTCGAGGTGCGGTGCCGCAATAAACCTTGGGAAGTCGCTTCTGTGGAAGTGCAGGTCTATCTTTTCTCAGGTAGTTGGAGCAGTTCTTGTCCCTTAAACAGAGTCTGGCACAGACCCTAGAAACCGTGAACCCTTCACCCTTAAACGACCCTAAAACCCCTCAACCCCTAAACCTTTCCTGAAGACCCGCGCCGGGATTCTGCCAAGGGAGGGCTGGACGCGACGTCATCCCGACAACCTTAGCGGCGCTGCCAAGTGAGCACTGTCGCGAGCAATAAACATGGGAGGTTTTTTGTGTCCGAAAATTTTAGGGGTCCCTGAAACCCTATAAGCCCTAAACCCTATACCCGCTTTGGGGTTCCTGTGAGAAATGAGAAAAGAGTTAGAAGGTTTTTGGCAAATTTTGTGGAGAATAAACGGGGATGCCCTACTTTGGGAAAGGCCCCCACAACTGAATTTTCAAGACTGCAGGGGCCTTTTCGAATGGTGAGCACGAGGCCGCCCCTACTCAGAGACTCCATAACCCCCCTGGATTAGGGTTTAGGGTTTAGGGTTATACCAGGATACCTATCGCAATTTAAGGGTTGCTCTCCCTACTTAAGGGATGTGGGAGCCTCTGGGTACTCAACAGTTGTGTTTCATGCGCGCTGGCTCTAGTGGCCTCGCCACGCGAGCGTTGCGGCCGGAGGCTGCTAATGAAAACTGAAGACCTGAATCCTCTCCCCTAAATCCCCAGAACCCTGTATTTCAGTTCAGTCTTGTTTCACTTTAAAAACCCTAAACCTTATAAACCCTAAATCCCTAAGCTCCATATTTAAAGTTCAATTTTGTCCACCCTGCGCGCTCCAAAAGATGCGACGAGGTGGGAAGTTGACTCCTGCTCACAGGACAGGAGGCTGAAACCAAGCAAGGCTACAGAACTACCAGCTCCTTAGTGGCAGGCACTTGTCAAAAAATGACCCTAACTAACCTGGACATCAAGGGGGTATGGGGTCTTTAATAGCAGGTAGTTAAGGGTTAGACCTCCCCAAATACCCCAGCCAACCTGCTAGGCTAGGGTCTCGGGCGTTCCGAGGTAGGGTACCTTGAATGGGGGCGTCCGCAAGGGTTTACGGTTTGGTAAGTGCCATCTACCTTAGGGTTTAGGGTTTAGGGTTTAGGGTTTAGGGTTTAGGGTTTAGGGTTTGCCAAGACCTTCGTAGAGGTTATAGGGCCTTAGAGAGTAGCACGTACTCACGGAATTGGGGAGACAGACAAGTTCATCCCAGGGGGCAATCGACTTGGTCTTGCTGGTTGAAGGACACTGCGCCTGCTGTACAAATATCAATATCATCCCGCGCTCACTGGTTCTAGGGAAGGTGGGAATCTGGTACTAAACCCTAAACCCGAAACCCTGAACCCTAAACCCTAAACCCTAGATAGCCCTGGATAGGACCGACTTCCTACGAACCAGCAATCGGCAGGTACAGGGAGCCCACAGCTTGAAGAGCTCAGCGTCGCCAAAAGCCCTGCGTGTTCTTCTTGGGCTCCCAGCAAAGATGCCAGAGCTTTTGGGCGGCCATGTCCAACAAGGACAGGAGGGGGAGATACGAGCCCAGACTACTGACTACCTACTACCACCCGAATCAGAAATCTCACAGACCCAGCCTTGAAACCAAAAGAGGCTCGTATGTCCTTTGGCAGTAGGACTGAAGCTGCAGTAGGATGCCATATGCCAAGCCTGCTGATACAACCATGGCACTCTCAAGGTAAAAGGAGGTGCCAGCAATTGACGCTGAGATGCCCGCTAACTGCCGGTGGGTTTAGGTTTTAGGGTTCAGAACCTTACGGGCGCATAACCTCCATACAGTTATAAGCTCAAAGGTACAATCTAACTACTGCCCCACATAGCCATTCCTATTCAATAGGCCCCCTGTAGTGGCGCTAAACCCTAAACCCTAAACCCTAAACCCCAAACCCTAAACCCTAAACTCTAAACCCTAAACCCTAAACTCTAAACCCTAAACCCTAAACCCTAGCCCTGGGCCGGGTGGAGGGTCGAGGAGCCCTGATTTCTGGGCAGCGGTACCGGCGTAGTAGCTGAATGAGCTTTACCCCAAAGGATCCATGTACCTATATAGTATATACTTGGGCCTTAAAGGGTTCCTTATATAGTAGCTTGAGGGCCCAAGAATATACTATATAGGTACATGGATCCTTTGGGTACACTTTTCGGGATGCTATATTTCGCTATAGAACTGAAAGTGTACACTTTTGGTGGCTTGTCAAGTCTGCTTGTTGACGTGTCAACATCAGCTCTAGGAACCTCCGTCCTCACGGCAGTTCGTTCCTTGAGCCTGAGAATCCTTCGACCATTAGCCCTACTTGGAGGTTCACGGTGCTTATAACCCAATTTATAAGTGTAGCTATAACCCACGTATAAGCCCCTTAAGTACCCGAATAGGGTGATAGTTGGGTTATAAGTAGGGTTGCTAAGTACCATGAACCTCCAAGCAAGCCTGCAGCACGTTGCAGAAATTCCTTTACCCCGTGCTGTTACGCCCAAAACCTTGAAAAACACCAAGCCCTGAACACCTGTGAACCCGAAACCCTACAACCCTGAACCCTGAACCTGTGAAACCTAAACCCTAAACCCTAAACCCTGTGAAACCTAAACCTGAACCTTCAGGCTCTTAAAGCCATGTCCATGGTCAACACGAACAGCAAGAAGGATCCATGCGTGTGATGGCACAAGTTGGCGGAAAGCTGATCCCAACACCCTAAACCCTAAACCCTAAACCCTAAACCCTAAACCCTAAACCCTAAACGAAGCCCTAAAACAGAAACCCTCCCAAACCCCTCGAGCTCTAATTAGACCCTTATCCTTCAACTCTGAACCCTGATAAGCCCTGAACCCAAAACCCTAAACCTTCAACCCAAAACCCTAAGTAAACTTCTAAAACCTAAACCGAAACGCCCAGCCGCGGCATCATGGGGAAGCCGAACTCGAACACGGCGCTGGCCCTGACGGCGGCGGCCGGGGACTGGGCCCTGGTACGGTTTGAGGGCCTTTGGGGTTTAGGTCTAGGGTTTAGGGTTTAGGGTTTAGGGCTCAGGGCTCAGGGCTTAGGGTTTAGGGTTTAGGGTTTAGGGTTGGTACGGTTTGAGGACTTCTAGGGTCTAGGGTTTGAAGGCTTTAGGGTTTAGGCCGTTTAGGGTTTAGGGTTTAGGCTGCTTTTTGGTGTAGGGTTGAGAAGTTGCGTTGGGGGTTAGCTTGCGGTTTGGGGGGCACTTTAGGGTTTGTCGGGTTTGGGTTGGAGGGACTGGGAATTCGGTTGTTGGTGGTTCTGTTTCAGGGCTTCCTTGGAAGGTTTAGCATTTGGCTTTGGCATCAGTTTCGAGGAGTGGTCTTCGGTCTCTTGAGCCAAGACAGTGACCCTAGACCCTAGACCCTAGACCCTAGACCCTAAACCCTAAACCCTAAACCCTAAACCCTAAACCCTAAATGCCAATAACAAACTTGCCACGATACATCTTTCGGTCTGTGGACCAGGCTTGGCTGCGCTCTAGTGATGTTAATCCTTGACTCCTTGAAGCCGGAAATTGGGTTTAGGGTTTAGGGTTTAGGGTTTAGGGTTTATAGGGTTTATAGGGTTTAGGGTTTAGGGTTTAGGGCTATTTATCATCATAATCACATCTTGTACGATGGGCTTTCTGCTTGGTGTCACGTGGTATGGCGTTTGCTCCCTGGAGCTCTGTTCACTATACTGAACATTGAGAGACGTGCTGGTGGGAAGGCTTGTTAGGGTGGGGACGTGCTGGTGGGAAGGCTTGTTAGGGTTTGGGGTTTAGGGTTCAGGGTTTAGGGTTGAGGGTTTAGGGTTTAGGGTTAATATGAATTTACAAAGCGCCTGTGCCAGGATGCAAATGGCCTTTCACTTCTATGTCCTGTCTTTGTCATAGTTGGGTAGCATTTTGCGTTTTTAAGGGTACTTAAACCCAATAAGGAATAGAAACTCGATTTTAATTAATGCTATCCCAACCATGAAACAGTTGTGTGAGCAGAAGCAAAGTAGCATGACTTACAGTTACACGTCATCCGACGCCGACCTGAATTTTGCAGACCTACTCGCTCGACCGCCAGCGAAGGGTCTGCAAAACACCCAAGGCGTTGTAAAGTCACATAATCGTTCACGTAAGTTCAATATGGTTAATGCGCATGAAGGTTTTTCATCTCATCGCTTAATTATGTTTGTATTCTGTCTGGTGTGCCCTCCCGCGGCGGCAGGGACTCACTTTAACGCAGTATTGCTTCAGTGCAGAATCCGTGAAAGCGTCGCCCCTTGACGCAGCCCTCAGCCCCATGCGGGAGGTTTCCACGGCATTGGCAGCTCTTGCCTGGTACCGGCGGCGGCAGCGTGCACGGTGACTCTGCTGCACCGAAGACTGAAGACTAAGACCCTCTTCCAGAAGCGGCCTGTGGAGCGTTCTATGGCTCTGTTTCAATCACCCATATAATCCCTGAAAGGTTGTTTCAATTTCATAGTTTTCAATTGGAGACAACCCATCCTAGGATTGCAAACATGATTCGCGCAATGACAGGTTGGCCTAGAGACCTCTGTGCGATGCATTATGCTTGAAGCCACGTCCGAACAGAGTTGTGGTGAAGTTGATGCGGGGTTTGCGATAACAGGGGTGCCTTATTGGGGTGCTATTTATAAGGGGATCCTACTTTTGTGGGAGTCTATAAAAGGGGTCCCTTGTTCGTGAAACTTCCGAATATGGCAAACATACAATCTGTGAGCAAGAAGTTAAGGAGGTGATGAAGTAGGTCCCTCATGTCCTGCATATTCAGAACCCTTTCAGCGGCTACAGGTATCTGCCTCCCCAATTTTCCACGAAGAGCCCGTAAGTAAAGGAGCAATGTGCGCAAGAAACTTCGTGAAGCCGGCCCCCAGTTGTCTTACTAGTTCTGAATAGGGAATTAGGGTTTAGGGAAACAACTAGATGGGGACCCGCCCCGAACTGGACACACCCTACCCCTAAACCCTCAAACCCTAAACCCTAACCCTAAACCCTAAACCCAAAACCCAAAACCCTAAACCCTAAACCCTAAACCCTAAACCCTAAACCCTCTCATCAAGCCTAAGTCCACTCAACCCTCAACCTAATCCCCAAGCATGCTCCCTCCTGAGGCCTTTCCCTCCAGCTCGGGTCCCTGAGGTGACCAACCGGGCTTAGGGTTTAGGGTTTAGGGTTTAGGGTTTAGGGTTTAGGGTTTAGGGTTTCGGGTGCAGGATTCTAGGGTTCTAGGGCTTAGGGTTTTGTGTTTAGGGTTTAGGGCGTAAGGTTCCCCAAGAACCCCAGAACCCTATGGCCATAAGCCCTGTAAACTATGAACCGGGATGCCTCCTGGTACTCAATTCTTTTTTTGTTGGGGGTTGGGCGGGGGGGGGGGGGGGACTCGGTTCCCGTATCAAGCCTCTTCAAAAAAGGGGATTCCTGATGAAATCCTAGGGTACAGGGCCTACGACAGTTATCATTGAACAGTTAGAGCTAGGACTAGCTTGGGCATGTGACAGCGAAGGCGTCCCGTCGCCCGCAGCAAATCCTAACACCCCAAATGCCTGAACCGTAATTCGACCCACAGCCTTCAGGACACGACTGGCAGATGCCAGTAGCCCTAAACCCTAAACCCTAAACCCTAAACCCTAAACCCTAAACCCCAAACTCTCTTTCTCAAAAGCTTCCGCCCGCAATGCAGCAGGATGTCCTTCGACGAGGATTGCGCAAGCAGGACTGCGATGAGTATCTCAAGCCGAGGTCTTCCTTGCACTTGCGTTATGGTTTAGGGTTTAGGGTTTGGGGTTTGGGGTTTAGGGTTTAGGGTTTAGGGTTTAGGGCTTAGGGCTTATAGGGTTTAGGGTTTAGGGTTTAAGGTTTATTCTCTAGGGTTTAGTTTAGGGTTTAGGGTTTAGGGTTTAGGGTCTAGGGTCTAGGGTTTCTAGGGTTTAAGGTTTAGGGTTCAGGGTTTAGGGTCTAGGTTTTATGTGAGCATCGTCTGAGTACAGCTATGGAACATGCCGTAGCAACCATTTAGAGACGGAGTGTCCGCCACTATTCTGCTCCAGCTTAGCAGTGCACAAGGACCTTCCTGAGGAGGCCGATGCCATCATCATTGGCGCAGGCAGCCAATGGACTGTTCAGGTGTCACTGCCCCTATAAGCCCTAAACCCTAAACCTTAAGCCCGAAACCCTAAAGTTTAGGCTTTAAGGTTTAGGGTTTAGGGTGCCCTAAACTTAAACCCTAAACCCCAACTCCTGCAGGGCTGGACTGGGTGCGAAAAACCTGAGGGTTTAGGGTTTAGGGTTGAGGGTTGAGGGTTTAGGCTTTAGGGTTTAGGGTTTAGGGGTTTAGGGTTTAGGGTTTAGGGTTTGGTGTCAATCTTCTTTTTGCCGGTGGATGTGTTCTCACTTTGCAAAGACGGGGTGAACCCCAAACCCGAGACTCCTAAGCCCCCGAACCCTGACCCCTTAAACCTTAAACCCTAAACCCTGTTCCGAGTCATGGCTTGCAAAGTTGGGTACTTTCATGTGCCATGCGAAGCTGTTTTAAGCAGTTTATATGTAATAGTAAATAATACGGATCATAGTAGTAGTACTACCGTTTTCGTAGTGATAGTAATAGTAGTACTAGTAGTAATACTACTAGCAATTAAAGAACAATAACACATGGTCGGTTCTCTAAACTATGCTCCTTTTAAGGTGCCCTAAATGTTATAGGGGCGAGCCGCAAAGGGACCAGATTTTAGAGAAGCGACCAAATGCCAGAAAATGGCAGTTACAACATATTCAGAATAGCAATACCAACAAGAATGACTGTTCAACATAAGGCACGACTTGCTCATGAGAAGTGGTCATATAGATCAGAATGCATTCGCGCAGACTTTCCGCGAGGCCCCGCCGGGCTCGCACTGGGCGTTATGCTGGGACGCTTGGGGCGCCGCGTGCTGGTGCTGGAGCCTGGCCTCTGAAGCCACCTTTGAACCTTCCCCAAACCCCCCAAGGGGTTTAGAGTTTAGGGTTTAGGGTTTAGGGTCTAACCCTCTGAACCCTAAAGATTCTCTGAACCCTCCTACACCTGGAATAGTCCTAAACACTATAAACCCTCTAGAACCCTCCGACACCTTAAATTCAACTCCCCAAGAACTGCGAACCCTCGCAAAAGGAGCAGCATGATCGAGCGGGAGGCGGTCTACATTGCTTTCAAGAGCAAGGCCGTTGAGGGTCTTCCTTAAGGGACTCTTACAAGGGACCTTGGGGGTTGCGGCTCTCGGATTTTAGAGCCATAGGGCTTTCAAGACTTTTAGGACGCAACCTGATTAGGCTTCAATTAGTTCAGGGTTTAGGGTTTAGGGTTTAGGGTTTGGGGTTTAGGGTTTAGGGTTCAAGGTTTAGGGTTTAGGGTTTAGGGTTTAGGGTTTAGGGCTTAGGGAGTGCCAAGAGCGAAAGCCCACAAGCCCACAGGTTACGACTTCGAGACGGGCTTCCACTACGCAGGCCAGGGGCCGGTTCTGAGATCCTTGGGGTAGTCGTTTGGGGTTTAGGGTTTAGGGTTTAGGGTTTAGGGTTTAGGGACACTCAGGTCTTTCAGCACGGACCCTAACCCCTCTAAAGCCAAGGCCTCGGACCTTTGGAGCAGTGTCTTCTCACTCGCCCTTACTTGCAGGTTCAAGGTACTTAAAATCCAATAGGGTTTAGGGTTTAGGGTTTAGGGTCTAGGGTTTAGGGTTCAGGGCTGAATTATAAGTGTAGTTATAGCCCACGTGTAAGCCCCATAAGTACCCTAATTGGGCAATAATTGGGTTCTATGTTGCAGTCACTATTGGGTGGCAAAGTTCCATGAACCCCCAAGTAGAATGTCCTTATGGGACGAGGGGGGGTTCTAAGAGGTTTACCGCTTCGGGACGTTGAGGTTTGATAAGGTTGGTAGCCCAGCAAGCCCGCACGATACAGTGAGGTGTGTACGGGAAGGTATTCGGAGAGCTGCATAGGGCGCCCAAAATGCAAAGCGATCTAGCAATCCCTAATGCTCCTTCACTTCGGGTTTTGGAAAATTAGGGTACTAGGGTTTTGGGCTTTTGGTTTTAAGGCTGTGCCTGAACACGGGCCCTAAACCTAAGAGCCGTCGCGAATCACGAACGGTCAGGAGAGATGAGGAAGGGCCAGGAGCTTCGCGCAATTGTGGACTCGCTGACGAACGAGGAGGTAGAGTTTGCCAATTTGGACACTTTGCCCAAATTCTGGAGTCCTGCCGCGCTCGCAGAAGTTGCCCGGAATGTTTTTTAGGTTTAGGGTTGGAACGTCATTCCCGGCCAAGTGTGTGTACCAACCGTTTACTCTGCAGCTTGGTGACAAGGAGCATGGGCAAGACTTCATCTACGACAAGGCCCGCAAGATTGCGCGCCTTGTAGAGAGGCCCTAAACCCTAAACCCTAAGCCCTTTACCCTAAACCCTAAAGCATACCCTGAACTCTAAGGGGGTCTTGGTTCGGTCCTCTCTGATGAAGGGTCTGTGTCCTCGATTTGGGTTGTAGGATTGATCGCTTTTCGAGCGCTCGTTTCGCCTCTCAGTCTTTCACTAGGGTTCTTAACAGTCTGAAAGGAGCCAACAACAAGGGTCCTTTCAGCAACCCGCTGTGCTAGTCTCTCTCTCTCTCTCTCTCACACATTCGTCCCCCCCCCGGGCCCCCCTCCCTCCCCCTGTCTCCCCAACCCAGAGCTCAGTGCTGTGCGAGACGCTTGTTCAGCATTTCCGCTAAATTGAAAAAGGTCGTCTTCAGCGACGGAGACAAGTTTGGTGTCCCGCCTCCTTGCACGATTTACGAGTTGTGCCAATGATCCCTTACCTTAAGGGTCCATGTACCTATATAGTACATACTCCTCTATCGTATATACTTTTGCCTTACAGCTACTACATTGGAACCCCTTTTAAAGCCCAAGTATCCACTATATAAGCACATGGACCCTTGGCGTTACAGAATAGCTCATTGTAGAACACAGCCTGAGAGGATCCCAAGCAAAAGGGTCCTTTCAACAACCTCCTGTGCAGAACCGTAAACCGCAAACTTGAAATCCCCAACCCTAAGCCCTAAACCCCAAGCCCTAAACCCTAAACCCTAAACCCTAAACCCTAAACCCTAAACCCTAAACCCTAAACCCTAAACCCTAAACCCTAAACCCTAAACCCTAAACCCTAAACCCTATCCCCTGAACCTCAGGAGCTTTGTGGGGGGGCTTATTGGTTTAGCTCTCTCATTGCTGAGGTCCGGAACACAGAACTGGCTCCAGGCGCTGAAGGCAACGCTGCTTACTTCGAGGGTTTAGGGTTTAGGGTTTAGGGTTTAGGGTTTAGGGTTTAGGGTTTAGGGTTTAGGGTTTAGGGTTTAGGGTTTAGGCTTAGGGTTTAGGGTTCAGGGTTTAGGGTTTAGGGTTTAAGGTTGGGGGTTCGAACTGCACCTATAAGCCCCCCTAAGTCCTCTAAGTAGGCTATAAGTAGACTTACAGCTGAGGTTATAAGTACCCCCATGAACCTCCATGTAGATCAAGGGCAGCCCTTCTTATCTGACCCCTTCCCTTGACCCCCGAAAACCCGAAGGCGCCCTAAGCCCTATAGACGAGACCCAATTACTTCTCTGAATTGAAAGCCCTGAGGGTCCATGTACCTAAATTAGGGTTTAGGGTTGAGGGTTTCGGGTTTGGGGTTTAGGGTTTAGGGTTTAAGGTATACCTGAGCCTTAACTTACAGTACCTCCTGTATGGGTGGTCAAAATTATGGTCCCTTTTTGGATCCCTATGATAATACGGCACCTAAAATTTAGGGTACCCCAGAAGGGATGATGATTTTGACAACCGCCCATATAAGGACGTTGGGGCCCAAGCATCTAGTAATAAGGTACATGAACCCTTAGGGCCTTAGCTTAAAGTACCTCCTATATGAGGACTTCCAGGTGTACCTTAAACCCTAAACCCTAAACCCCAAACCCTAAACCCTAAACCCTTATTTAGGTACATGAACCCCTAGGGCCCTTAGGGAAGACTAAGTCCAGAGCCAGGAGAAGTTCCCGGATGAGGCGAAAGCCATCGAAAGCTACGCGAAGGATCTCAAGGCTAGGACCTGAAGTAGGCCTTGTTTCCCTTTTTTTAGGGTTTAGGGTTTAGGGTTTAGGGTTTAGGGTTTAGGGTTTAGGGTTTAGGGTTTAGGGTTTAGGGGTTCCCTTATAATCCCCTTTCCTAGGTTACTCCTGGATCTAGAAGGTGCTCTGCGTTGTTGTTTTTGCTTGCGCGAGTTCTGTTAGGGCTACAGCTTCGTTTCTGCATCTTGTTGAGTCAACGTCTTTGCTTCATTTGTTTGTTGTGCCTAATTGTTCCCACGTTATAGATGTATACATGTATGTACATGTACAAATTTCCATACTCTTCCTGCCAGCGTAGACCCCAAACAGTGGGAAACCCTTTGAACCCAGATATCCAAAAGCGATGACAGTTTCGCATTTCGTGAGCACGGACGTCCAAACATGGGCGGCACGCCCCCACCTAGCGACAGCGCGATTTTCGACCAACATGCGAGCAGAAAACAAGAAAAAATGCATTGTCGCCCTTCTTACACTGAATCTGGAAGCCCGTCGTGTTGACACGTTGTTCAGGGACTCTTATAAACATAGTGTGTATATGTGTATATTTGTATATATACGTTTCATTTCTTAATTGTTTTTGGTAGTTAGATGTAAACAGCGTCCCCATAGCTTGAGGGCCATGGGCAGTGGAAAAGTCGTTGCAGGAAACAGGGGCTCTTTTCGTTGAATGCGGGCCGGTGGCTTGATCTGAGGAGCCGCTGCCGATACCCTTTTAATTAGGGTTGTCGTAGTTTTAAGGGTTTAGGGGTGGACTTAGTTTTAAGGGTTTAAGGGTTTAGAGGTTATAGGGTCCCTCTCTATAAGTTAGGGACTTTGGGTTTCCCACTGATTCAAAGGGGTCTTGGTGTCTCCTGCTTTGTCGCATTTAGGCATTGCACGCCTGAGCCTCCACTACTGCTGCCGGTTCTTTAAGCTTGGTAGCCCAGCGGCACCCTTTTCACTTTTTTCGGTCCTGGGTTCCTTTATAAAGTAACCAATAACCAACCAAAAAAGGGTGCCCTTACTGTAAGGTTGTTACTGGGCTACCAAGTAAGCGCAGGTCACGCAGACCAGCTTCTTCCCCATGATGATCTGGCGTAGCATCCCGTACGAATGGTTGAGCTGCTTGACTTTGAGCTCGTCCAGGATGCAGAGACCTAGCTACCCAAAGCCCTAAACCCTAAACCGTAACCCCTAAACCCTAAACCCTAAACCCTAAACCCTAAACTTATAAACCCTAAACCCTAAACCCTAAACCCTAAACCCTAAACCCTAAACCCTAAACCCTAAACCCTAAACCCTAATAAACCCTAAACCCTAAACCCTAAACCCTAAACCCTAAACCCTAAACCCTAAACCCTAAACCCTAAACCCTAAACCCTCACCCTAAACCCTAAACCTAAACCCTAAATCCTAAACCCTAAACCCTAAGCTCCGCCCAGCACTCAGGGCGCAAGCTCTACAACATCCTGGCCGCTCCGAACCTCTTCCTTTCCGTGCTGGCGGCGACGAAGATGCGGGAGCTCACCCAGAGCCCGTGCTGCTTTGGGAGGGTTTAGGGTTTAGGGTTTAGGGTTTAGGGTTTAGGGTTTAGGGCTTCGGGCTTCGGGCTTAGGGTTTAGGATCCCTATCAATATCTCAGCGACTTCGGGGTTCTCCTGAACGAAGGGGTCTCGGAGCCTCAAAGTGGGGAGCGCAGCCGGCTAGCATGCTCTCCCTAACCTCTTCATTTTTTACAGACAAACCTCCTGAAACGATCTTAGCGTGGACCCGAAACCCTAAACCCTAAACCCTCAACCCTAAGCCCAAACAACCCTCTTTCGTTCAAGGAACGAACGTCTCAAAGCCGCCGTGAACTCAGCCAACGCAGTAGACTTCCAGCAGGCTTCGGGTTTTTCGGACTTTGGGTTGTGTTTAGGGTTCGTGGTTTAGGGCTTCGGGTCGCTTACGGGGGGGTTTCGGGGTTTGGGGGTTTCGGGGTTTAGGTTTAGGGTTTAGGTTAGTTTAGGGTTAGGGTTTAGGGTTTAGGGTTTAGGGTTTAGGGTTTAGGGTTTAGGGTTTAGGGTTTAGGGTTTAGGGTTTAGGGTTTAGGGTTTAGGGTTTAGGGTTTAAGGGTTAGGGTTTAAGGGTTTAAGGGTTTAGGGTTTAGGGTTTAGGGTTTAGGGTTTAGGGTTTAGGGTTTAGGGTTTAGGGTTTAGGGTTTAGGGTTTAGGGTTTAGGGTTTAGGGTTTAGGGTTTAGGGTTTAGGGTTTAGGGTTTAGGGTTTAGGGTTTGGGGCCGGTAGGTGCTGCTCTTCACTGCCGGCGGATGAACTGAATGGGGAGCAGCAATGCTCTTTGGGAGAAGCCCTGCAACAGCTACGCAGGATGAAGCGTATTGAAGAGATAAGCTCCAAAAGCCCTACTAGCCAAAGAAGCTCCCCTAAACCCTAAATCCGAAACCCTAATAAACCCTAATAAACCCTAAACCCTAAACCCTAAACCCTACACCCTAAACCCTAAACCCTAAACCCTAAACCCTATACCCTATACCCTATACCCTATAAACCCTAAACCCTGAACCCTAAACCGCCAAGATTCTCAGCTACATCTCCCTGGGATGCATTGGTGTAACCCTGGAGAACATGGACTACCGGAGCCTTCTCTGCAAGATCGGGTTTAGGGTTTACGGTTTAGGGTTTAGCGTTTAGGATGCAACCTAAATAGGGAATGCCTTGGAGCTGAAGGTTTAGGGTTTAGGGGTTAGGGGTTAGGGTTTAGGGTTTAGGTATTAGGGTAGGGCTTAGGGTGCAACCTAAATGAGGAGAACCTTGGCCTGAAAGTTCTTCCTATATAGGGACTTTGGGGCACAAGCGTCTAATAGCATGGTACGTGGACCCGTGGGGTTTAGAGGGTTTGGCCCTGAACCCGGTGCCCTGAATTCCTGAATCCTCAAGCCTAAGCCCGCAACATACATGGTTCCTGCAGTGGGGTTCCCTGGACACAACAGGGGTCACACTACGAAGGCGTTCCGAAAGGCACGGAAACAAAGGGAGCTGCCTCCCCGAGCCTCTAATTAAACCATAACCATAAGTCCCCGCCACAAGCTCTGAAACGTAAACCCTGAACCCTACTTGGAGGTTCATGGTACTTATTAACCAATTATAACTGTTCTTACAACTGTACTTCTGACCATATTAGGGCAGTGAAGGCGCTTGCAAGTGGGCTATAAGTGCAGATATTAATTTAAACGCTACGCGACCCGCCTCGGCCCGGCCCAGCGCATCCGCGTGAGCATGGTGACTCCGCAGCGCCCAAGTCGCTGGACCCCAAGCAATAAGGGTTGTTTAGGGTTTAGGGTTTAGGGTTTAGGGTTTAGGGTTTAGGGTTTAGGGTTTAGGGTTTAGGGTTTAGGGTTTGGGGTTCCGGGTTTATGGTTTAGGGTTAGGGTTGAGGGTTGAGGGCTTAGGGCTCAAGGTTTACGGTTTGGGGTTTAGCCTACTCCTTCTTTTGCCATCTTTTGAACTTTTTTTTTATCGGTTGTCAGGGTTGGATAAGGCTTCAGGGCTGGACATTAGTCATCCTGGCCCAAGCACCAAAATCATCCCAAACCCATCGCCCCAACCCACACTCAACATCCTGAAGCCTTAAAAACCCTAAACCCTGAACCCTAAGAACTACAACCTAAACCCTAAAACCCTCCTTTAACCCCAAACCCTAAAACCTAAACCCTAACGCCTTATAAACC